AATGTTTTAATGAAATTAAGGTTTGTAAGGACTGCCTGTCCCCATCAATGGTAGAATGGCATGAGTCCCCCCCCCCCCCCCAGGCACGCACGTAACGTTTAGATGACCCCCATAAGCTGTGCCCCCCATCACGCACGTAACGTGTAGATGACCCCCATAAGCTGTGCCCCCCATCACGCACGTAACGTGTAGATGACCCCCATAAGCTGTGCCCCCCCCCCCCCATCACGCACGTAACGTGTAGATGACCCCCATAAGCTGTGCCCCCCCCCCCATCACGCACGTAACGTGTAGATGACCCCCATAAGCTGTGCCCCCCCCCCCATCACGCACGTAACGTGTAGATGACCCCCATAAGCTGTGCCCCCCCCCCCCCCCCCGCCATCACGCACGTAACGTTTAGATGCCCCTCTTAAGCTGTGCCAATAGTGACGTGCCCGTGTTAACCCAGTGTTGTACGTTGGCGTCCATGTGTGGTCCCCTATTGGCATGGGCGTCACGCCCGCCCTGCAGAGATCAGCTGTGTGTGAGAGATTTCCTTTTCTAGGCCTGGGTGGCATTGTAGGCCCTGCAGGGTTGGGTTGGTTAGTTACATCGTCACATGAGTGGCGGTCTTGTTGGTATCGGTTCTTATGTAGTCTGGTTTGTTGTTGTCTATGTTTACCTGGTTGGGTGGTAGTAAGCTTAAGAAGATTGATTCGTCATCATCATCTTTTCGTGCCCAAAACACATGGGGCAGATGAAAGAGTTCATCTGTGCATATGACCTAGGCATAGTGTGGTCAGCACTCTTCACAGCCGATTTGTTTCCCTAACGTGAGTCAGGTATTCATCAGAGCGGAGTGGAGTCAATGGGGCGTGCTACAAGTTCCAGCCCGGGTTAGCAGTCGTTAGCTCTACCATCCGACCATGCTGTTCCCTTGAACTGTGTTTAGTAATTAGAAAATAGTGGATTTGGTCTGTTTTGTGGTACTTAGGAGTCCAGGAAATTTGAACCTGATAGTCATTTAGAAGAGATATTGGGTAGTCCATTGGTGATATACTCGATGAACGACACCCACTAACCGCATGATAACATATAGGCTGTCCCCGTCTGTCTGCACTGCAAGACATTATTAATGGCCTGATTAAACGGGTGACAAATTGGGCTCTCAGGCTTAATGAGACACTGACTGATGGGATCACTTTTTTTTCTACTGCAGGCTATTAGAAGATTCATTGTGTCGGCATTATTCATATTTTTATTTATTTTGTTTGCTGGTTTATTTTTTCGGCGTTGGCTGTGTTGTTGATTAGAATTCTATTTAAGTTAGACGTACGGAATATATTGTGTGGGCGGTGCTGAGATTTCTCAAGACTAATATGTGTTTACAAATCGACTTGATTCACAGTGTAGAGGGGACGTGGGAGGCTAGTTTTAGATTTGTATCCATTCAATTACCCACGCGCATAGCAAGATTGACTGTTAAACAACTACCTCCCCCCTCCAATGTTTTGTCTACAGCCTAACCGAACGTGAATCATAAACTACTCATTCAGCCGATTCATATGGCTGGTGATAAGAGTTCAGTATTTTTTTTTTGTGACCTTGGTATTTGAAAAAGTCTGCACAGTGATAGTGTCATGATACCTCTTAGAGCTGGATGTACTCAGGAGAATTCGGTGCCAGTAATCATCTGCTCTACCAGTCGACCACACAGTGCATAAATACAGTACAACACGCATTAATTAGTCTTTGATACGTTCTACGGCTGAAATTTCGTCTATGGAAACGCCCCCCCCCCCCCCCCCCCCCCCGGCCACATTGGACAGTTAAAAAATAACAAAAACGAAGTTATATATCAAGAAAACAGAACAATCGCGGGCGATATACCAAGAATATCGAACATTCGTATTATACTTGAAAAGCATAGAACACGTGCATCACGTATCACCACCTGAATTCATAACATGGCTGGTCGCATTTTGATATTTAACTACGCCTATAATAAACCACGCAGTTGTGCATGTTTATGGAGATATGTCTTGCTTCTGTTTCTGTGCTGGTCATACTCATCACCCCTCCCCCCCCCACTCCACACACTTCCCCCACCCATCAAGCCTTTGTCTCGTGATGTCACGAGCTAGTTGTGTGTGTGTGTGGGGGGGGGGGGGGGGGTAAGAATGTACAAACATTGAATCACTGCTGTGTGGACTGGCTTAATTAGAAAACCTGTCACGGTCTGGCCGTGACGTCACGCAGGTACACTCGGAGATGGCCGTCACTCACATAAACATAATGTTGTCTGCTCTTTGCTGTGTTTGCGCTCGGACTTCGGTATGTGGCTGGGTGGCGCTCCAAGGGTTCCTCGCGCTCTTTGGTCCAGTAGAGTTTGATGGTTTGATGGGGGCTGGTGGCACGGCGAGGTTAGATGAGATGGTTAGATGGCCGATATGCCAGCAGAACATTTTTTAAATTCGGTGTTGCAGTTCAAGCCGTGGTTAGGGTTACAGGGTCAGGGTTACAGGGCAGGGTTACAGGACTAGGGTTACAGGGTTAGGGTTACAGGGTTAGGGTTACAGGGTCAGGGTTACAGGGTTAGGGTTACAGGGTCAGGGTTACAGGGTCAGGGTTACAGGGTTAGGGTTACAGGGTCAGGGTTACAGGGTCAGGGTTACAGGGTCAGGGCTGGGGTTAGAAGCCGCGTAGATTTTGTCATGCTGAGGTACAAGAAATAGCCCTAAGATTTGCGTCGGAGATGAGTAACAGTTTCGTTTGTTGCGCGTCTTTGGTTTGTGAGGCTGAGAACTTACGACAGATTACAGAAACCCTCACAACGCCAAACTGGACGAGTTACCCGACTTTCCCATGGCGCAGTTCACGTGTTTGTCCTGTTGTTGTATGTTGTGGATGAATGATGTCACATGGACCAACTTTCCCATGGCGCAGTTCACGTGTTGTCCTGTTGTTGTATGTTGTGGATGAATGATGTCACATGGACCAACTTTCCCATGGCGCAGTTCACGTGTTGTCCTGTTGTTGTATGTTGTGGATGAATGATGTCACATGGACCAACTTTCCCATGGCGCAGTTCACGTGTTGTCCTGTTGTTGTATGTTGTGGATGAATGATGTCACATGGACCAACTTTCCCATGGCGCAGTTCACGTGTTGTCCTGTTGTTGTCCTGTTGTGAATGAATGATGCTTCATGGAGAGTCAACAGAAAGATAATTATAAATAAAATACTAAAAAAAAACTTTTTAAAAAAACCACGTTTTTCTTGTGGACTAAAAAGTAGAAAATAAATTTTTCTTTTGTGCTTCCTCGAGCTGTGCAGGTTCTTGTGATGACTGACAAAAAACGTGGGTATGTTCACTATCAAATTTCCCGACCCATCTGCCCGACCCACGTTTTTTGTCAGTCATCACAAGAACCTGCACAGCTCGAGGAAGCACAAAAGAAAAATTTATTTTCTACTTTTTAGTCCACAAGAAAAACGTGGTTTTTTAAAACGTTTTTTTAAGTATTTTATTTTCTCCTTTTTAGTCCGTTGCTACACATGAAAAACGTGGTTTTAAAAAAAGTTTTTTATATAGTTTATTTTCTACTTTATCTAATGACTTGATTAAGTATGAATTGACTAAGTGTTTATAAATACACGGACTAAAAATATTGAGCGACCAGGATTCGAACCTGGGTTGTCGCGGCCACAACGCGAAGTACTAACCACTATACGATCACGGCCAGCGCGCTCACATCGATTGGGGCTGAAGTAACTGTGTCAATAGGCCTCCAGTCTTGTCGGTATCTTTAGAAATCATGTCCTCAATTTTATGGTCCTTGGGGCGTAATTAAATTAAGCTAATTACGGTCTCTAATTGCTAGTTTTTATGATTGCATCTGAAATTGTTAGGCGAAAGTAGCCTGTATGCCAAATTTCAGATCTCTAGAGCAATCAGAAGTGGGCTAATTTTCGATGTCAATTTTAACAACAAACAAATCCATCCACAAACGCGAAGCTGAGTTAAGAAAAACGTATTAATAAAATGTAACTGACATATTGCTGTTGCCAGCATATAGACGGTAGGTGTCGCCCAACCGGAAAGACCAGTCGTGCTAGGGTAATATAAATCGTCGACATTTTCTATGGTGTTTTTAATTGAACGAATATTTCTATTTTTAATAAATTGATTTCCTAGTTGTTTAAGACTTGAAATGAAGGTGAATTAAGTCTTGGCGGGAAACAAAAAAAAATCGCGAGTATGTCACGTGTTTGTGTCAATACTGTACTGAGAGGTGGTCAAAACCCAAGTTCCCTGTGTGTAGGCCTACTCACCACTCCCACCAACAAAACACATCATGATACTGAACGTGGTGTTTGAGCGGGCTTCACAACTTTGTTATAAACTGTTGCCATATATGAGGAGGGGGGATAACAGTGTTATAAATAATAAAGCCGACCATTTGACAACAGCAGTCAGATAGTCCATTAAGGACGTCACTCTGTTTTTACCGATTTTTTACGCCCACCCCCTTACGTCATAAAAAAAAGACCTCTCATTGAAATGGCTTCTCAAAAATCCACAGAATATACATATTCCAGAATATGCATTTGTCCGTGCAATTTAAAACCCAGATTCTTTGACAAAACTATTTTCTTTTCCCCCCATATATTTTATTTTTTAATTTCATTGAACTAGTTTTTATAACAGGCATTTTATATGTTTCTAAATTTGTACTTGTCTTCTCTGGTTTTGTCCAGTTTTTATTGTTGGCTCCTAAATGTCCATATCTCGCTGAGATGATTGTATGCTAGTTTGTCAAGAGCTTCTTGATGGATCATTAATGTCAACAGTTTTTGTGTCAGCGACAGCAGCTTTAGTGTTTAAATGTCACCTTTTGTTTAAAATATATTTAAATTAGATTTTGAGATGTGATGGATACAGTATTGTAGCTTTTTTATATGGCTTTTTATCTATGCTGTTACTACATCTTGAAAATTTTTTTTTTAATGTTCTAGGAACTGTTTATTCCGTGCCCTTGGTGATCAGCTTGAAGGTCATTGCAGAAATCACTTCCGTCACAGAGCAGATGTGGTCAACTTCATGCGCTCACACAGGACAGACTTTGAGCCGTTTGTTGAGGATGACATGCCATTTGATGAACATGGTAGGGACTAGACGGATGCGGGGAAGGGGGTGGGGAGTAGTTTTATTGCACTAATCAGCTGTTCTCTTCTGACTTCAAAGAAACTGATATCACAATAAATAATTTAAATAAAAAAAAAATAGTATTATAGTTGCAAGGTTCTTGTAAAAACTTAGTAAATAGAATACTGACACACAGGACATATACAATTTTAAAGCAGACAGGTTATAACCAAGCTCATTCATAAAAATATTCTTAATTGGCTATTAATATTAGTCTACAAATAGTTTTTCTCCAAGCTGTATGTTCCATGTTACATATGCTTTAATGAGATACTAATTAAAAATACCATCATGGTAATTAATAAGTTTGCATCTTATGTCAGTATAATTTTATGGATTTGTTGAATTCTCTACTGTAGTAAATATTTATGTATTATTTTTAAAATTCCAAAAGTAAAATTGTTTTGAAATTATTGCAGTGAAAAACTTGCAGAAACTTGGCACACACGCAGGCAATGATGCCATTGTTGCCTTTGCCAAACTCCACAATGTTAATGTGATAATCCATCAGTTGAATGGGAAACCCTTGATGGTGAGTTACAATGTAATAGTTACTTGGCTTGTTTAAATTTTTAACTTGGCAGCACCGCCACAGTACTCACAGCAATGTATAAAGGGTTGTCCATAATATAAATGTCAGTTGTTTTTTGGTCAATTTACAAAACACCCCTATATCATTATTCTCACAAAAAATCAGATTCACCTAAGTTTAGTTACATTGTTGAACTTTTATTTCAAATTACAAGAGAGCTTTAAAAATGCTAAATAACTGCTGAAAGTCAATTTAAAAAATTACTTTTCAAAATGCAAAAGTGTGTATCGAAAGTTTCCTAAACTCACATTTAAAAGATCAAAATCCCCCCCCCCTCCCCCATCTCACCTCTAGGAGGTTGACATTATTTATAGACAAAAAATGTTTTATATGAATTACGACATTTATAGAGCTCTACTGGCCCTACAACTTATGTTTCCTATACATTTGCTTATTGTATAATTGTATACAAGTTATCCATATTAGTTGTATACAAGTAATCTGTATTAATGGTATAGTATATAAGTAATCCATATTAATGTTTATCTTATTTTTTTGTTTTAGATCCAAGGACCCCCAGGTAGCAGTGAACTAACACACCAGCTCCACATAGCATACCACAATGGTGACCACTACAGCAGTGTCCGCAAGCTGGACGACAACACAGAATCCCCAGCCCACATACGGTTACAGGTATGTTATCACTTTCATTAGTAGATTCTGACCAGTTTTACCTGTGTAGGTGACAGGTATATGTTATCACTCTCATCATTAGCTTCTAATCAGTTTTACCTGTGTAGGTGTATGTTATCACTGTCATCAGTAGACTCCAACCTGTTTTACCTGTGAAAAAACCAAGTTGAGACTGTATATTTGTGTTTTACCTGTGAAAAAACCAAGTTGAGACTGTATATTTGTCTTATGTCTGCTCCAGGAATATGCCGACAAAAAGGACTCTGGCCACAGACACAGCAGCCATGAGTCTGGGGCAGGTTATGTCAGTGCCAAGAGAGGTCTGGAGGACATTGAGACTGAGGTCCTACTGGCCACCAACTGTACTGTAAGTGTTGTTTTCTCTTTGTCTTTATCTCAGTGACACTGTTGATTGCATACGTGAATATTTCTTTAATAACCATTTTGATATTTTACAGCATTGTTTTGTCAATGTCAAATGAACAATTCCTAATTTATTCTTAATATTTTAGTCTAAAAAACAATTTTCAATTATTTAAAAATATTTTTTTAATGTCAAATGTTTTACTCTAAAGTATTTTGTCAACGAACAATGAATAATTATTGTTAGTTTTTTATGTTTAAAAAAACATTTAGTCAAGTTAAATTGTTTTCAACTTGAAACACTTCATTCTATACACCCACTAATTAAAAATATTTTTCTGCTTTTTATGTGAAATGTTTTGCTGTTTAATAATACTGTTATTGTAGAAATATTTATTTGTTTCCTGCTATAATATTTTGCTGTTTACTCTTGTTAATGTGATACCATCCATTGAAACAGGACATGGAGAAAGTGCGCCACAGTCTACTAGAGTGTGATTATGATGTTGATGCTTCCATAGCTTATTTATTACAACAGTTGGAGATCTGTAATGGCTCTGTGCAAGGTAGTACAACAGTTTGCTCTTTACTGTTAGATCTAAACTCAGCTTTGTTTAACTCTCTGAGTTGGGATTAGGACAATTGCATCATTTTTTTTTACTTTCTCGTATATACGAAGTATAGAGAAAGTCTTGTAATCGTGCAAAAAAAAAAAATTCGAGATTTTTGCAAATCTCGACGTTTTACATCTCACTGATACGGAAAAACATAATTTTACAATCTTGTCCGTATGTCTGTGTGTGTGTGTGTCCGTGTGTAAACACGATAACTTGAGTACCGTTACAGCTAGGTTGATGAAATTTCATATATAAGTATTTTATCAAAATCGTAGATCCGTATCAACTTTTAAGCGATTTCCGATAACCGGAAGTGGTACTTTTTCTACTTTGAATTTTTCAAAAGCCTATAACTTGAGTACTATTTCAGATAGATAAATGAAATTTGATATGTAAGTAAAAGATCTAATTCTCTACCTTCTTTCAAATTTTGAGTAATTTCCGTTGACCGGAAATACTTATTTACGCTATTTTCGAGTTCTCAAAAAACGCATGTAAATTTATAAAGTACTAATAATATTGCGCACTATTATGCACCTTTATTTAGCGTTCACTTGGTGTGCATTTCTTTTTTCTACGAGATTATATTCTATTTTAAAAAAAATTGAGTATTTAAAATGGATTAAAAATCATGTCTAGAAGTCTATATCCCGAGTTGCCATCCCCGTAGTGTTATATTAGAATATTTGAGAAAGTTTAGGGGAGATCACTCCCGGTTTATTTTTGCCAGTTTCTTTGTTAGCAACATTATAAAACAAATTTGCAACTCATCATAAGTTATTCATGTAAAATACAATGTTGTGTAGAATGGTTCTATTTTATGTCTTTTTTTATTTTCTCAAAAAAAAAAAACATTTTAGAAATTGTTGCTGCTTTAAATATTGAAAGAGTTAATCAGATTCAATGCATGAAATTGTTATAACATTGCAGTATAAAAATATAATTTGCTTAATGAGTAGAGCCATATTTATTAAATGGAAGAGCCACATGAAGGTTCAGAGCTGCAAACTAATGATCACTGACTTAGGAGTTAAAAACTGTTATCAACATTATTTTACATCACTGACTTAGGAATAAAACTGTTATCAACATTACTTTTATACACCAAGTTAATTGATTAAAATATTGCTTTAAGAAAGTTTTTATTTGGGGAAATTGTGTTGATCTTCTTTTTTTCTGATTTCAATCATTAACTGACGTAATTAATTTAAAAACATTCTTTCAGATGACACGACGTCACTGGCCTCGCAGCAGACGTCAACCACTGACAGTGGCATTTACAACTCTTACACCCCAGAGTCCAGCAGTCCCAACTCCAACAGTGGACGCACCATGGGCGGCGGTGCTCTGAAGAACGGCTCGGTCAATGGGAAAGGTCACAAAGTGCACTTTAGGGAGGACAGTTTTGGGGGCAGTTCTGGGTATGGATCTTTGAGCAGTAACCGTGGCGGTGGAGCCAGGCCTAAAGTAATATCTGTTCAACAGGTACACACTCTCATGTTTTTGTTAGTTATCTGCCCTTTTGCTTTTATCCCTTGAGATAGATTCCATTGTCCACCCTTCAACATCTGGCCCCTCAAAACCTTACTACCCCGGCATTGGGCTTAGATTTCCAATGTGCAATGTTCTATTAGGGGTCGTCCATAAATGACGTCACACTCGTAGGGGGGAGGTCTGTAATTTTGTGACGGTGTGTGATGAGGGGGGGGGGGGGAGGTTCAGATGGAGTGACATCACACTTCTACATTATAAAAAAGCAATGTTAGTAAACGAGTTTTAGCCATTATTTTGCATTTTAGAAAACTGTAATAGGAATTGATCACATGACAGATATCGATGTTTAAAAAAAAAATTCAACAGCAATTTTGAGGGGGGTTGTAGGGTGGGGTGTGACATAATTTTAGGAAAAGGGGGTGGGGTTTGGCTTTTTGTGATGACATGTGACAAATGAGAGGGGGAGAGGTAAAAATCATCCAAAAAGTGTGATGTCCTTTATGGATAACCCCTCAGACAATGGAGTCATATATTGTTCACCCTGTTACCTGGGTGGGGAGGAGGGGAATCCAATTAAAATCTTATTAATGTACTGTTTTTGTTGGGGTCAGTATCCTAGCTTTTAAAAAAATTATTTTTGAAAAATTACTGTTTGATTAGGCACAAGACAGTAGCTTAATTAAAATTTTATAGCTTTTGTACTAATTAATTCACCAGTACCTGCATCAATTTTTCTTTGTGTAAATTAATATTTTTTATTTCAGTCTGCTAAGAAGATCAAGGAAACAAAGAAAATGGAGAAGAAAAAAAGGGCTGAAGAGAGACATAGAGAGAAATTTATTGTGGCTAATGGCTACCCATACCACCACATCCCACAAGCCACGGATGTAAGGGATGTGACTGTGGTGGCATTGCATGATGGGAGACTGACAAGGATATAAAACTGTATCAAAAGTTAAAAACTGCTGATTATAAACGTATGGTAGCATCACATCATGGGAGACTGACAAGGATATAAAACTGTATCAAAAGTTAAAAACAGCTGATTATAAACGAATGGTAGCATTGCATGATGGAAGACTGACAAGGATATAAAACTGTATCAAAAGTTAAAAACAGCTGATTATAAATGAATGGTAGCATTGCATGATGTGAGACTGACAAGGATATAAAACTGTATCAAAAGTTAAAAACAGCTGATTATAAACGTATGGTAGCATTGCATAATGTGAGACTGACAAGGATATAAAACTGTATCAAAAGTTAAAAACAGCTGATTATAAACGAATGGTAGCATTGCATGATGGAAGACTGACAAGGATATAAAACTATCAAAAGTTAAAAACAGCTGATTATAAACGAATGGTAGCATTGCATAATGTGAGACTGACAAGGATATAAAACTGTATCAAAAGTTAAAAACAGCTGATTATAAACGTATGGTAGCATCACATTATGGGAGACTGACAAGGATATAAAACTGTAACAAAAGTTAAAAACAGCTGATTATAAACGAATGGTAGCATTGCATGATGGAAGACTGACAAGGATATAAAACTATCAAAAGTTAAAAACAGCTGATTATAAACGAATGGTAGCATTGCATAATGTGAGACTGACAAGGATATAAAACTGTATCAAAAGTTAAAAACAGCTGATTATAAACATCGCATGATGGGAGATCAACATTCTCATAAGACTCTATCAAAGGTCAGTGGCTTAACGTAAGTGAACCATTGGATGAAGGAAACACTTGTGATTGAGACAGGACTGGCAATGGTAAAAAATCACAGACTATGAACCAATGTTAGCTTTGGATGACAGGGTGTTGAAGTTGATACAGGACTGTCTCAGTGGTCAAAAATAGCAGACTATGAACCAATGCTAGCTTTATATGACAGGGTGTTGAAGGTGATATAGGACTGTCTCAGTGGTCAAAAATCACAGACTATGAACCAATGCTAGCTTTGGACGACAGGGTGTTGAAGTTGATACAGGACTGTCTCAGTGGTCAAAAATCACAGACTATGAACCAATGCTAGCTTTGGATGACAGGGTGTTGAAGTTGATACAGGACTGTCTCAGTGGTCAAAAATCACAGACTATGAACCAATTCTAGCTTTGGATGACAGGGTGTTGAAGTTGATACAGGACTGTCTCAGTGGTCAAAAATAGCAGACTATGAACCAATGCTAGCTTTGGACGACAGGGTGTTGAAGTTGATACAGGACTGTCTCAGTGGTCAAAAATAGCAGACTATGAACCAATGCTAGCTTTGGACGACAGGGTGTTGAAGTTGATACAGGACTGTCTCAGTGGTCAAAAATCACAGACTATGAACCAATGCTAGCTTTGGATGACAGGGTGTTGAAGTTGATACAGGACTGTCTCAGTGGTCAAAAATCGCAGACTATGAACCAATGCTAGCTTTGGACGACAGGGTGTTGAAGTTGATACAGGACTGTCTCAGTGGTCAAAAATCACAGACTATGAACCAATGCTAGCTTTGGACGACAGGGTGTTGAAGTTGATACAGGACTGTCTCAGTGGTCAAAAATAGCAGACTATGAACCAATGCTAGCTTTGGACGACAGGGTGTTGAAGTTGATACAGGACTGTCTCAGTGGTCAAAAATCACAGACTATGAACCAATGCTAGCTTTATATGACAGGGTGTTGAAGGTGATATAGGACTGTCTCAGTGGTCAAAAATCACAGACTATGAACCAATGCTAGCTTTGGATGACAGGGTGTTGAAGTTGATACAGGACTGTCTCAGTGGTCAAAAATCGCAGACTATGAACCAATGCTAGCTTTATATGACAGGGTGTTGAAGTTGATACAGGACTGTCTCAGTGGTCAAAAATCACAGACTATGAACCAATGCTAGCTTTATATGACAGGGTGTTGAAGGTGATATAGGACTGTCTCAGTGGTCAAAAATCACAGACTATGAACCAATGCTAGCTTTGGATGACAGGGTGTTGAAGTTGATACAGGACTGTCTCAGTGGTCAAAAATCACAGACTATGAACCAATGCTAGCTTTGGATGACAGGGTGTTGAAGTTGATACAGGACTGTCTCAGTGGTCAAAAATCACAGACTATGAACCAATTCTAGCTTTGGATGACAGGGTGTTGAAGTTGATACAGGACTGTCTCAGTGGTCAAAAATCACAGACTATGAACCAATGCTAGCTTTGGACGACAGGGTGTTGAAGTTGATACAGGACTGTCTCAGTGGTCAAAAATCACAGACTGTGAACCAATGCTAGCTTTGGACGACAGGGTGTTGAAGTTGATACAGGACTGTCTCAGTGGTCAAAAATCGCAGACTATGAACCAATGCTAGCTTTATATGACAGGGTGTTGAAGTTGATACAGGACTGTCTCAGTGGTAAAAAATCACAGACTATGAACCAATGCTAGCTTTGGATGACAGGGTGTTGAAGTTGATACAGGACTGTCTCAGTGGTCAAAAATCACAGACTATGAACCAATGCTAGCTTTATATGACAGGGTGTTGAAGTTGATACAGGACTGTCTCAGTGGTCAAAAATCACAGACTATGAACCAATGCTAGCTTTATATGACAGGGTGTTGAAGTTGATACAGGACTGTCTCAGTGGTCAAAAATCACAGACTATGAACCAATGCTAGCTTTATATGACAGGGTGTTGAAGGTGATACAGGACTGTCTCAGTGGTCAAAAATCACAGACTATGAACCAATGCTAGCTTTGGACGACAGGGTGTTGAAGTTGATACAGGACTGTCTCAGTGGTCAAAAATCACAGACTGTGAACCAATGCTAGCTTTGGATGACAGGGTGTTGAAGTTGATACAGGACTGTCTCAGTGGTCAAAAATCACAGACTATGAACCAATGCTAGCTTTATATGACAGGGTGTTGAAGTTGATACAGGACTGTCTCAGTGGTCAAAAATCACAGACTATGAACCAATGCTAGCTTTGGATAACAGGGTGTTGAAGTTGATACAGGACTGTCTCAGTGGTCAAAAATCACAGACTATGAACCAATGCTAGCTTTATATGACAGGGTGTTGAAGTTGATACAGGACTGTCTCAGTGGTAAAAAATCACAGACTATGAACCAATGCTAGCTTTGGATGACAGGGTGTTGAAGTTGATACAGGACTGTCTCAGTGGTCAAAAATCACAGACTATGAACCAATGCTAGCTTTATATGACAGGGTGTTGAAGTTGATACAGGACTGTCTCAGTGGTCAAAAATCACAGACTATGAACCAATGCTAGCTTTATATGACAGGGTGTTGAAGTTGATACAGGACTGTCTCAGTGGTCAAAAATCACAGACTATGAACCAATGCTAGCTTTATATGACAGGGTGTTGAAGGTGATACAGGACTGTCTCAGTGGTCAAAAATCACAGACTGTGAACCATTTTTATGGCAGCACAATGAACATCTTAAACCAGGGCACTTAAATGTTAATTTTATCCAGTTGGCTTGTTGAATTTATTATAAATTATCTTCGTGGAGTTCATGTCTTTCTGCTTACGTTGTTTGAAATTCACATTGCGCTGTTATTATGTAAACACTGAAGTTTGTGGACTAAATGAATGCTGTTGCTTGTTGTGGGGATTGCGTGGTTGATCAATATGTTAGGTATCCCAATGTACTGAGTACAACTAGTAGGTCAGTAGAATGGTGGTGTCTGATCATTATCCATATGAAATGTCAAGATAAAAATAGTGGAGAGCTATGGAGGCTTCAATCCACCATATGCCATGGCTAGAGAAACAGCGTATACCTATATTATACACCATCAAAAACATAGTGAAAATAGAGCGAATAATTGGCCGGATTACTGAGTGTGTGAATACATTTATTATTTTAAAGATTTTACCAGTGATGTGTTAATTAACTTTGGTTAGCATTGATAAAGCTGCTATACTGTAATTGTAACTTAAGACATTTCAATGTGTGATGTGTTACCAAATGTTTGTCTCAACCTTCTGTTACAAATGTAACTAAAATCCTTTCAGTTGATGATGTGCACAAAATTCTTGTCTATGTTTAACATTGTGTGAACATCCCGCTTGTTTCTTGAAGATCATGGTTCTTTCCTCAAGAGCAGGGGTCTCCAAACTACGGCCCGCGGGCCGGATGCGGCCCGCGAAGTCCTCTCATCCGGCCCGCGGAGATCTTTTTGTCCAAGGAAAAATCGTTTGTTGGTGATGGCTGAGGAAGTTTGCCCAGAAAAATCAAAGACATGCCTGGAAGAAACTGGCCCCCGAACTGAAATTTGATAGTTAATGCGGCCCTCGGACTGAAAAGTTTGGAGACCCCTGCTCAAGAGTATGGATTTATTTTAAAAAAAAAAGATATTTCTAGACAAGCACCTGTGTATATTTGTATCATTCACTTCCCATTCATTCAATAAATGTGGAAATAAAATCTAGACATTCCAAAATTGTAATACACATTTTATTCATCATTTGTTGATAAAATGCTGAAGGTTGATTGATTTTGCACAGTGTTTTTATGTACAAGGTAAACCATAAAGTGTGTCATAATTTAATTTTGTAATGTATATACGACTACACATCACCTTTCGAAAATGTAGCTTATTGATTATACACAGAATTTATTACTTTAATAACACTGTTTTTTTGGTTTGCATAATGTTATTTATTTATATTATGTACTTGTTTTGAATACTTAAAAATAAATGTTTTATTTTAAACAATTTCCTAATCTGCTATTTTGTGAAAACTATCTTTCAGGTGATAGCCTATGTAGTCACAGCATTATTTTCTCTGTTTGAATTCAAAGATGTTTGGTCGTGTATCAGTTATATATCTTTAATAATAATAGGTAACAGGAATGTTAGAAAGATAAATATACAAGCAGCAGATTAGTATTCTTAGTGAAGTTAAAAAATAGTTTTATTCTTGCTTTGTTAAGTGACTATTGCTTGGATGGATGGTACACAGGATTACAATGACATTACATAGGTGAACCACCAAACTGGAAAGCCACTGAAAGGCTTATCCATCATGGTTCCATCCTTTTGTCATCCTTCAGGTCACCTCTCCAAGTGTTAGACTGGCTTTTTTTTCTCATTAAATGCAAATTGTAAATTAAATGAAAAACTAATACATCAATTGATAAAAATAATTTTTTTAAATTTTATTTAAGTTCCTGATATAAATATATTGCTACTTACTTGCACAACAACTATTTTTAGGCCCACTTGCTCAAATCTCCATACAGCCATGTTCTGGGCTTAAAGTTAACTATTTGTATCTGTGGTGCTCTTCCTCTGTTGTCATGGTAACGGAATCTCTACCTCTTGTTTACAGGCTGACACTGTCTCAGTATTGTACAGTTGTTTTGTTTCATTCACTTTTTGCTGTCAAAGTTACCCTTGTTTTTTTTTGGTTTCTTTTAATATAAAAACATGATTATATTTATTAGTGAAATTCTTTATTAGAATAATTTATTTTAAAATGTCATGTTAATATATCTTGTGTTAAATCATACATGTGATTGATGGCTGCTGCCTTTGATTCCTTGCTATATATATATATACATAACATGTTTATTAACATACATATTTTCCATGGCTTCAAAAGTTGTCAATCATAATGAATTCAAACAAGAGAGGTAACTTGTGGACAAAATAAATATATATTGCAATGCCAGTTCTTTTTCACAATTTTTTGTTGTTGTGAGGATTCATTTCTGATGTGTTTTTTTTTTCCTCTAATATCTTAACCATATCGGTATCTACATTGTGGTTGCTAGTTTCTTGTTTTGAATTTTTTTTTCAGACATAAAAAAATTAAGATTTTACCCCCCCCCCCCCATTAAATTGTTATAGTAATGGATGCCCTAATCAAAACAGTGTTATAGGCAGTACTGGAAAGTTCACACCAATATGCCTAGACCCTCATCAAACAGTAGTTGGCCTGCAAGGACTTGGGAGCCAAGAGGCAACTATTTCCTGGGCTAGTTGTTTCAGTCGTTTTTTTTCTTGATAGTTATTGGATATTAAATTTTCTTGATAGTTATTGGATATTATTAATGGTCGTGTGTTGTTTGGTTTAGTAGCTTTGGGTGACTGTAATGGTCCAGGGTCTAGTGGTTTCAAGTGATAGAAGTAATCCTAGTTGAAATTATTTAATTGATCATGTGACTTTAAAAAACTACTTACACCACCTAACTTTTGGTTTGGTGTTCTCATAATCTTGCCTGGGATACAAACTTAGGACTTCACTTAAGGGTTAGCAGTCGTTATTGTCTGTTACCTTTAGTCTCTAATCCATTAAATAACAGACATCTAGTTTGAGCTAAAGAACCTAAGCTAGTTTTCTTGATAATACAGTTGTATTCCACATTGGGAAACCTGGGCGAACGTCAGTGAGAGCATTGACTCATTTAATTTTTTACCATGCGCTGAGGGAATATGCATATCCACACCAATGCGGCGCTTAAACAAAGGGCAGACATCAGTGAGAGCGATGCGCCATTTCTTTACCGTAGCGGAGCACGGTTATAACTTATATTAAGCTAGTAGATTAGTAGATCTAGATCTACTCATTGGAAGTCGAACGAGAAAATCAACGGGAAATTTAAAAAAATAAAAATTAGATCTTCAACTGTTCTTGTACTTGTTACCTTGTAGGTTCGCACTCATCATGAAAGTTGTATTGTTCAATTCTTGATAATGTCTTCGTCAAACAAGGCCTGTGGGTGAGACCTTGTAGAGAGTGTTTTACTGGGCGGCCGACAGTGGCGTGCGGCTCATAATGTTAACAGTGGGGGCGGGGGGCATGGGAAATCGTTAATTTTTTGCCATCTGTAGTTGGCTTACTTCTACAGAAGGTCTATCGATCAGCTTCTTTCTATGTCATTACTTCACTTTACTGGATTAATCTTATAAGCTTATAATAAAAAATTAAAGTCTGATGCGTTTCGACACCGTTCATCAAACTTTGGATCAAGCGTGTCTAATAATACTAATATAAAACTTAACAGATAAATTTTTAAACTTAAAAACATGAAAAATTGCAATCTTATCTTAAAAATTGAACAATATAAAGTAAAACTAAATTAAATTTAAAATGCATAAACATTTTCAACTATTTTTTATTGCATGATTTTTTTGATGTTATAAACCATATCTGACAGTTACATTAGTTGTGAAAAAGAGATCTCTACAATATAGATCAACAGAGTAGAAAAAATGACCATGTTAGTGCTCAACTGGGTTAGAGATTTACGGGAGAGATCCAAGAAGAAGCTGTAGTACAAATGCCAGAACAAGTTGAAGCAATTGTCTAAATGATGTTTGAAATCAGACTTAAAGTCTAACTAATGACTGCTTCTGGCAAACTCTGGGCTGGCTGGTTGGCGCTGTCCTTAATGGCACGAGCTTTGGTCCTGGCTTTGAAGGCGGCAGCATAGATGATCATGGACTAGAAGATGTGAATGCAAATCATTAAACATACCTCCCAGAAATGTACTTACCCAATCACACAGCATAGATGATCATGGACTAGAAGATGTGAATGCTAATCATTACAACACACCTCCCAGAAATGTACTAAACCAATCACACAATCATTAGGGAAATTGATAAAGTGACATACTATAATCCAGCAGTGAGGTGAATGGATAATGTGACAGGATCACAACAAAGTATATAAAGGAATGGATAAAGTGCCTTAGAAACAGTAATTAGGGAAATGGATAAAATGACTTACTACAGCATTGCGCTCAATTGCCCAAAAGAGTGCCCCATCCAAGAATTCTCTCTTTGCCCTACGTTTCACTGCATCAGATGCCATCTTATGCAACATTTCCCCCAGTGTTGCTTCATCTTCATGTTTCACATCCTTCAATAAAAATAAATGTGTAAAGCAGAAAATAAAAAAATAAAACCTTCTTTACCTCCCAGTTATTGATAGAATAAAACCTTCTTTACCTCCCAGTTATTGACAGACAAAAAACTTTTTTTACCTCCCAATTATTGACAGAATAAAACCTTCTTTACCTCCCAGTTATTGACAGAATAAAACCTTCTTTACCTCCCAGTTATTGATAGAATAAAACCTTCTTTACCTCCCAGTTATTGATAGAATAAAACCTTTACCTCCCAGTTATTGACAGACAAAAAACTTTTTTTACCTCCCAATTATTGACAGAATAAAACCTTCTTTACCTCCCAGTTATTGACAGAATAAAACCTTCTTTACCTCCCAGTTATTGATAGAATAAAACCTTCTTTACCTCCCAGTTATTGATAGAATAAAACCTTCTTTACCTCCCAGTTATTGATAGAATAAAACCTTCTTTACCTCCCAGTTATTGACAGAATAAAACCTACTTTACCTCCCAATTATTGACAGAATAAAACCTTCTTTACCTCCCAGTTATTGATAGAATAAAACCTTCTTTACCTCCCAGTTATTGATAGAATAAAACCTTCTTTATCTCCCAGTTATTGATAGAATAAAACCTTCTTTATCTCCCAGTTATTGATAGAATAAAACCTTCTTTACCTCCCAGTTATTGACAGAATAAAACCTACATTTTCCAAACCTCCAGTTAGGTCATACAACAGGATGATCGCCTCGCCAGCAGTGATGCGCAGATCGTCATCTGAATACTTCCACAATTCCTTTAGAGAATCCAAGTGGCTGCAAGTTTAAAAACAACACCAATGGTTAAAGCATGTGTGCAAATGTAGCTGTGACAAAACAGTTTCTAAACACACATGAAGCTAAACAAATATCTCTAGCTGACAGAAAGTTTGCTAGCCTTGTACAGTCTATGGAGCTCTGATTCACCACATTATTCTTTCACTCAGACTTGCACATAGCGCCTACCATCAATACAAACTAACACTAAAATGTCCATACTCTACCATTAGTCCAGAACCATACAAATCTACACTATGACATATGTTACTAAAAGTCTTAATGATGAAGTTACTATTTGTCTCTCTTTTAAAATTTTTGTTAATTCCTGATTCAACTCTTTGTTTAAAAACATTTTCCATTAACATCTGATAATCTTAGTACACTAATTTTATTGAGAAATTTGCAAGTTCTATTTTAGAAGACAGTAGGGGCCCACACTATATAATAAACTACATTATTAAATATCTTTTGAATCTCCAACAGTATGGTAACTTACATTATAAAAATATCATCTGAGAACCCAATAATATGGTAAACCTACATTTTAAAAATATTCTTTGAATACCCAACAATATGGGGAACCTACATAATAAAAATATTCTTTGAATACCCAAAAATATAGGGAACCTACATTTTAAAAATATCCTTTAAATACCCAACAATATGGGGAACCTACATTTTAAAAATATCCTTTGAATACCCAAAAATATGGGGAACCTACATTTTAAAAATATTCTTTGAATACCCAAAAATATGGGGAACCTACATTTTAAAAATATCCTTTGAATACCCAACAATATGGAGAACCTACATAATAAAAATATCCTTTGAATACCCAAAAATATGGGGAACCTACATTTTAAAAATATCCTTTGAATACCCAAAAATATGGGGAACCTACATTTTAAAAATATTCTTTAAATACCCAACAATATGGAGAACCTACATAATAAAAATATCCTTTGAATACCCAACAATATGGTGAACCTACATAATAAAAATATCCTTTGAATACCCAACAATATGGAGAACCTACATAATAAAAATATCCTTTGAATACCCAACAATATGGTGAACCTACATAATAAAAATATCCTTTGAATACCCAACAATATGGAGAACCTACATAATAATAATATCCTTTGAATACCCAACAATATGGTGAACCTACATAATAAAAATATCCTTTGAATACCCAACAATATGGTGAACCTACATAATAAAAATATCCTTTGAATACCCAACAATATGGTGAACCTACATAATAAAAATATCCTTTGAATACCCAACAATATAATGAACCTACATAATAATAATATCCTTTGAATACCCAACAATATGGTGAACCTACATAATAATAATATCCTTTGAATACCCAACAATATCATGAACCTACTTGGTCATATGAGCCTGGATCATTGGCTTTGGGGAGATTGTCAACATAAGGCACCAAGCATTCAGGGCTTTGGTAATCAGAATTCTCTGAGTGATTGTTAGGCTGGGACGATCCTCCCCTTTCCTATAGCCGAAGCAGATGATTTCCTCCAAGGCTTTACTCAATGTTTTAACTTTCTGGTAGTGAAAGAAAAATTATCAACATGATAGACCAGATATATTTAAAAAGTAGATCAGATAGATAGACAGACAGACAGACAGACAGACAGACAGGCAGGCAGGCAGGCAGGCAGGCAGGTAGGCAGGCAGGCAGGCAGGCAGACAGACAGACAGGCAGGCAGGCAGACAGACAGATATATAATAAAAATGGTAGATACACTTTGAACTTTTATTAACACAGTTATAAAACATTTGTTGATTCTGGACAAAATAACTTATCATTGTAAAATATAACATTTTCCTAAAACTTCAATACTAAAGATGTGTATTGTATTGAATAATCAGTAATAAAGTACAACAATATCATAATTGACATTAAAAAAAAAGTAGGACACATTTTTGAAGTTATAAATCTCGTGTAAAGCTAAATTTCCAAAAATAATTTAAAATTTACATAATATTATCAACGTTTATTAATTAATAATCTATTAAAAAATCAAATGATAGGAAACAAAAAAACAAAGATAAAAAAAATTAGACAACAGAAAATTGTTAATTTTTTAAATGGGAAAAAATCAGTTTCTAAAAAAAAAAGAGTTACATCTATGTAAACAGAAGAATGAACTACCTCCAGGTCATCTGAACACAGGAAACACCAGGTGGCCAGTGTTATGGCGCACGCCCCACGAGTACGGTAGTGTGTGGTGTCATCTTGCATCAGGGGGAGGAGCACGCTGTAAATCTTGTCACACAGACCTGAACACTTTGACCGCAGCTGGACAGCAACTAAGCAAAGACAGCCAGCTGCTTGATCCGGCACAAAAAAGTCTTTGCTCCGCAGACATTTGAGCAGGCTGTCACACAGAGCCTCTTTTCTGTAATACAGAAATTTCATAAGGTTATCAGACAATCACTTTTCTGTAATACAGATATTTCCATCAGATAGCAGACAATCACTTTTCTGTAATACAGACATTTCTACAGGCTATCAGACATTCACTTTTCTGTAATACAGACATTTCTACAGGCTATCAGACATTCACTTTTCTGTAATACAGACATTTCTACAGGCTATCAGACATTCACTTTTCTGTAATACAGACATTTCACCAGACTATCAGACAACCACTTTTCTGTAATACAGACATTTCACCAGATTATCAGACAATCACTTTTCTGTAATACAGACATTTCCATCAGACACGCAGACAATCCCTTTTCTGTAATACAGACATTTCCATCAGACTATAAGATCACTTTTCTGTAATACAGACATTTCACCAGACTATCAGACAATCACTTTTCTGTAATACAGACATTTCACCAGACTATCAGACAATCACTTTTCTGTAATACAGACATTTCACCAGACTATCAGACAATTACTTTTCTGTAATACAGACATTTCCATTAGACTATCAGACAATCACTTTTCTGTAATACAGACATTTCACCAGATTATCAGACAATCACTTTTCTGTAATACAAACATTTCTACAGGTTATCAGACATTCACTTTTCTGTAATACAGACATTTTTATCAGACTATAAGAAGTTCACTTTTCTGTAACACAGACATTTCCATCAGACTAGCAGACAATAACTTGTCTGTGCGAAAGATATTTCACCAGACCTATCAGACAATAATTTTTTGCAATACAAACATTTCACCAGGCTATCAGACTAGAGTCACTTTTGTAAGGACACCCACATAAAACACAAGTTTTTTTCACTAGGTAACTAGATTTGTGCAGCATAAGTGTAGTGGGTCAATGCAACTCCCTCATGCAAAGTCTCAGCTAGTTAAACCAAAGCAGGTGTATCACAGCTCAAGAGAAACAATTATTTTAACACTAACATGTCTGGAAGATACTTCGCTACATCCAAACGCTGTAATGCATTTTCAATTCCAGACAAAGATTCTGAACATTGCCTTGAGCTGTAAAATAAAATGTAGAGAATTTTAAAATTAATAAGAAAATATCCAAAATTGAATACATCATTTTTCACAAGTCAAATATCTATATATTGTAAACATTTATAAGAAAATATCAAAAAGTTGGAACACACAATCTTTACACAGGCCAAATATGAATAGTTTTAACAATTGTGATATAAATTCATGAGTCAATCTCATTTTGATACAGTTGCATCTTGGCTTAATTAATTTGATAACAATCTGTGATAAAGTGACTGTCTCAATTTTTCAACCTACGCTACACTGATCAGAGGAGGGCAATCTCTACCACAACATCCTCACCCTCCTCAATGGGTAGCTTGCATTCTCTAATCACACATGGACACATTAACAATGCTAAAACCCTGACATACATACAAGCAATGCTAAAACCCTGACATACACACAAGCAATACTACACCCCTAACCCATGACAGACACAAGCAATACTACACCCCTGATATACACACAAGCAATACTACACCCCTAACCCATTACATACACACAAGCAATACTACACCCATGACATAACCACAAGCAATACTACACCCCTAACCCCTGACATACACACAAGCAATACTACACCCCTGACATAACCACAAGCAATACTACACCCCTAACCCATTACAGACACACAAGCAATACTACACCCCTGACATACACAAGCAGTACTACACCCCTGACATACACAAGCAATACTACACCCCTGACATACACAAGCAATACTACACCCCTGACATACACAAGCAATACTACACCCCTGACATACACAAGCAATACTACACCCCTAACCCATGACAGACACAAGCAATACTACACCCCTGACATACACACAAGCAATGCAACACCCCTGACATACACAAGCAATACTACACCCGTGACATACACACAAGCAATACTACACCCCTAAGCCACAGCAGACACACAAGCATTACCCATGTCAGACACACGAAGGCCAATAACTGTTTAACATTAAATTTACTTTAGAACATCCATATATTCTGTACAAACACACACATACACATCAATGTCAATACCAATTGTACAACCTTTTCTTCAGTCCTTTCATATATTCCATAAATTTGTCCTCATCAACTTCCTCATCAGACGAGCTATCATCAGATTCGTCGCTTGAGTCTTCAGATGAATCTGCACCAATGGTAGTGCTAAAAGATACCTGAAAACCAGCTTAGGAGACAAAGTATAAAAGTTTAGAAAACATACAAAACATATAGGTCTATTTATATATGAGTGTAAGACAACATTTGCAACAAATGTCAAGAGTCAAATTTACATTCTAAGCAAATCAGATTGAGTTTTATTTTCAATAATGGTATTTATATTTATAAAGAGCTGTCATTGTCTTTAATTTATAGTGAAAGTGATATAAAATAAAAACAAGAAAAGGTTAACAAATATGATTCCTTGAGATAAGATTATTATAGCACATAAAACATGATACTAAAGGGTATTAAGAGTAGACATTAAGGTTAGATTTGGGAGATTTCAACATAATCTTCATTAGATCTATAAGATGGTAGGAATTATGTGTCTAAAATGCTTTATATATTTAGAGAAATAAACACTTTGCATTGCAAAATGTAAAGATACTACAAAATGTATACCAAATGAGGTAGAAAATTGTAACAAAATTAACCGCTTTAAAATGTCTTAGTATGGGGCATTGACAATAAAGGACATTAAACCCTGGGTGGATTGGGGTGGTTCAGAGAAATTTTTAATCAAGTCCACAATTTTAATTAGTTCATTGATATGATATTTTCATGTTTAGGTGGGTTACAGCTATATGTCTATCAAATGAAAGCAAACATATCACTACCCAACAAAAAGATTTAAAATACTAACCTCCAGGATTAATATTGTTTTATACTTTAATTTGAACGGCATGTGTTTATGTAAACTAATGGAAGAGTAACCATGGCTAGATTGTATTTAACAGGGTGTGTGTGTGTGGAGTGGGGATATAATCAACAGGGGTATTATCCTAGACCAATGCAACACACCTATACACACACCTAGATAAACTTACATGCATGCGCACATATACATTAGTTTTAACAAAAAAATGAATTAGCAGTCTTACCATTTCTGGAAACTGGGGATTATAATATTATAATATTTTATTTATGAATACAGTAAAGAAACATTAAATATGTAAAACACACTTGACACACTATGACTTTAGACACACACAATATACACAGACAAAATTACACATTTACAATTACACCACATAACCTACACACAGCTATAACTAGCTCCAAACACACAACTACACATAAACTTATACATATCTATTCCCATTCTCCTAAGCACATTTACACCTATGTACACAAAACCCTATAAAGAGAAACAATAATTTTAAGTAAAAAAAATATGTCAGCTCTAATTTTATAATAACTTCCTTCAAACATTTAAAATCTTTTCTAATTTCAAATCTAAGACAAAATACACTAGGACAAAACACCTCAGGGCAAAATGCCTTAAACATTTAGGAATCAATAAATTGAGTTATTTTATTACAATATAATAGTATAATCCTCCTAGTAATAGCAAAGTGTATAAAAGTTACATTAGTTTTATTAGTATCAGTAGTTCCAAAATACCAAAAATTTTTACTTAAATAAATATATTGCTGAATCATCTCGCAAAGAAACGACTTAGAGAAAAGTAGGAATTAGATTTAGTATTACTTTTTTAGCCAGACAGTACATGAATAAAACATTTTAAATAATAAAAGCTTTCTAAAAAATTATGCCAACATGCAAGCTTTTAATGCACTCAAACATACATTTATAGTCCTTCACATATCCTTACACCAAATAGCTACACCTATATAGATAAAAAAAAAATACCAAAACCTACATACCCATCTACAAACACCTAGAAACTCACACAGAACTACATACACAAACACACATAAGCACTCAATCATGCAAACATACACTCATCTATCCCACCCACCCACAACACCAATAACCCCACTCATAATATATACAAATACACAATTTATTTATACTTACATATTATTTGTAATAAAACTTTGATAAAGGCGATAGCTATCAAGCCTTTGACAATCCACTCCAAATATGCTAATCCTGTTGAATCATCTTTTTTAACATCTATCCCTGTATGTGTATATATAAATAAACATAAATTAGCTAATTATTTTAAAAAAATAGAGGGAGAGACATGAGTATAAGAACAAGAAAGTGGATATTGAATATAACTTATAGGGGTAGAGGAAGACATTGAGCTGTAGACATGATGTAGGATGATATAAATATTATAAATGATATATACAACAAATAAAATATTACAAATTAAAAATAAATGTTATTTATTTTGGGGCCAGATGAGTAGCCTAACTCTATTTCATATAGACCATATTTCATTTTTTTTCCCCAATAACTAACTCTTTGGCCATAAAAAAAAAACAACACTACAATAATAATACAAATGTCCTTGTGGCAACAAGGTAAAGTATAGCTCTTTTAATCGATATACAACCATAAAAGGATTTAAGGGGTGGACAAGTGGGGGAGGGGGGGGGGGGGAGGACTGGGAGCTCTTTCCATCCCTCAGATTTACAAATAGATACCCTCTTAAATTTTCCAAAAAAATATATTGTGACTTTTAAAAAATTTACTTTGTAAGATAAGGAACTAAAACCACTGACAACTACTAAATAACACAAGGAGCAACATTGTAATATTGGGTATAAATTTATTCTACACTTTTACAATTTCCCTTTTTGCTGTATTATCAAAATACTAAACTATGTTCAAACCTGTTACCTCAATTCTATGTTTTTTTAAGGACTAATCCCAAGCTAATTTTTTTTTAAGTTTAAAAAAATTGACCATTCAAAAAGTAAGCATATTAACAATACTCACAGTTTAGCAGTGATGGCCATGCATTTATTTTTGGGATTGAGTCTAGGAGAACAATCATCTGGAAGAACTTCTAAAATAAGACAACAGTCAAGATTTTATTTTAAGTACTAAAACTTACACAGAAAAAACTACTAGAGCAATGTGCCAGTTTAGTTTCAAGGACTCACTTTATCCTTAACAGACTGGAACAACACACCATATATGGCTGCGCGTAAAGAGAGTTCTTGAGTTATTTCCATAGCAGTTTTGGCAGGCTCATTCAACACAGGTTCTTTGATAATCCAAGGTGGCAGACTGGTATTCCAGAGGTGCTTGAGCTCTGCCATTGCTTGTTCATATTCTTCAAAGTTGTGGTCACAGCTGATGATAATGATTTTAAAATAGGCACAATACTTAGCATGATTAAATTAAGTTAACTATGATTCAAGAAAAGTAATTTAGTTATTGAAAATATAGGGAAATATAAGGATATATATAGGGGCACCTTCAAGCAAACACAACTAGCTATAGGACTAGAATGTGACAATAAAACTATCTACTAATTACTGTTTCCATGTTAATCATTGTATGTTTATGTAATAAAAGTAGGCTATAATATGAAACAAAAATGTAGCATATAAATAAAATAAAGTTGTCTCAGTTATGCCATTTATTAATTCTTTGTAAGTTATATTTTTAAAAAAATGTGTTATTTATATCACAACGATTGCCTCCCTTCTGACAGAGTTTTCCCCCTTAAATCTTCTTGCTACAACATGACAATTTATTTGTTATGTAAAACAAGTAAAAGAAAATGAGGTGATGAAAAAATAGTATTGCTTAAAAATTTCAAAAGCTAGTAACTGTCAGTATATTACAGAAGAAAACCAAAAAAAAAGTTTTTAATAACAAACATTTTAGTATTGTTGATTGCATTGCACAAACTTGCTATGAGCTATGGACCTTTTTGATTTTCAAGTAGATAGGTAGCAACAGAGATACGATTTTATAGGTTTTTATCAAAATAGTTACAAGACAATATAGTATTCTACAGTTTTTTCTGCCAGTATTAAAATTAGTATTAGGATTTTGGCCCAGTACTAGTTTTCTGTTCCTTTGTCTTTATAGGGTGCAGAAAGTACAAAATGTTTAATATTCCTATAAGCTAAACTTATGTACTAATTTGGCTAAATCTTTTCAAATTCTGGCTCTGGAGTTTATAAAAGAGAAAGGCCTACTTTTACCATAAAGCTTATTAACCAGAATTTTACAATGCAAAAAGAAAAAAGCATTGCTGAATTACTTTTACCTATCACTTTCATTTCCTAGATCACTGTCAGTTTTATTGATGGAAACATGGCACAGCTTGGCTAGCAGGCCCAAACCAATCTGGTTGTGTTCAGTGTGAAAGCTCAGCTCTATACAGAAAAAAAATATGACAAAACAGGATCCTGTGTGACTACTGCTATATTTAAGTAACAAACTATTAAATATAAAGATCATGTTTTTTAAATTACACAAATACTATAAAATCTATATATGAATCATACTTTGTCAAAAGTTTATTTTGTGACATAAAATTTACAAACATATTACCTTTTGCCCTATTCAGCAAAAATGAGCATTTCATCCTACCAGAATCTGTTTTGCCATCCTGTTGTATCAAGTTTCATTTTTAGTTTTCTTCTCATACAAACTCTTAGTTATCAAACTGATTCATTTATCTTTTTATAAAATTTCACAGATTAGTTTAAATTTTTTTTTTTTAAAGATTAAATCATATAGCTTACACTACTACACTAGGCTAATAGAAGTACTTTAAAAGAAGGTGCCAATAAAACTATTTGCTTCAAGCTGGTAGACTCTAGATCTAGATTCTAGATCTAGGGGCCTATTTCAAAGCTAAAAAAATTCAGGATAGGTGGGGGTGGGTGGGGGTAACTAATTCAGACCCCTCCTCTGCCTGGCCTGTGGGCTTTATATAGTACGAGCCGACCCACTGCGTATCATACACCGCTATTTAGTTGGTTTTTTTTTCTACTTTTCAATAATTTATAATTTGTGAATTCGACAGTACCAATGCTGCCACTGAAAATATTTGCTTAAAAACACTAAACCCCCCTCCCTCCCCCCCCCCCCCCCCCCACGTGAAAGCAGCCTCCTCTTAGTTACCTCCTCTAAGTTTAAAATCGTTTCAAACTAAATTATCTGTCAGCCGTCACCAAACTCGTCTCTATGATTGTAAAATGTAAACAGCGTGACCACAGCTCACCAGACAATGTGGGGGTGGGGTGGGGGTGGTAGTGATAGTGATAGAGAGAAAGAGAGGGGACTGCAAGGAGGCGCTTGCAGCTTGTTTTCTAACGGCTCCCAGAAGAGAATTATATATATATATATATATAGATAGATAGATAGAATCTACCTGGTCTAAATAAATAATAAATAATGTTTAAAAGTTTATTAAATTTTATTTTTATTTTATTTAGTATTTAGTCCGCAACTTACATAACCAGCTGTCTTCAGGAATGAAGTTTCCTGGTTGTCGCCAAGAGATGTTGAGCTTGTTAGCTGACACGAGTTGAGTAAAATTACTATAGAGATCGATATGATTTTCATAAAATGATACATGATGTTGAGATCATTAAATTTATCGATAGCGACTTTTAGATGAATTGTGTTCCGTTTAGATATATGTTACTATGGAGATTTCTGTGTGGATAAAGTTTGTAACTCAAAAGGAGTAAGAAATAAATAATAAATATTAAATTTAAAAGAGTAATACATTGATTATTAATAGTATGCGCATGGTAAAATATTTCTTTTTGTATTAGGCATTTCGATTATTTGTGCACGCTTAATTATTTCCATATAATTTAATTTAAATTTGTTTTTCTAATCAAATTTTGTTTCAATACTTTCCACTTGTTTCCAAAGATAATATTATTATTATTTTTGTATTTTACGTGTACATAAACTTTTATAGACTTCCGTACAACGTACTGCTCGAAGATAAAAACTAGAACGGGTTTTCCCGTCAAAGGGGTTAATAAAATCTAGAGTCAAGGGCAGTGTTTCTTTTTTCTCCGGGGGGGGGGGGGGGGGGCGCACTTGAAATTTTCGGGGGGGGGGGGGGGGCGGTAGACTTTCTTCGGGGGGACGGACACTTAAAATTATGTATTTTCTATGTAAATTTCGTTTCGTTCGAGGGGGGGGGGGGTAGAAACTGGTCTAGGGGTCTGATTTTATTTTTTTAGGTAAAATATGGCTTTCAGAGTTTTTTTTTTTTTTTTAATCTCCCAAAAGATATAGATCTAGAATCTAGATCTAGAACGCTTTAGAATACAACGAACAATGAGAAAAATACTAGATCAGAGTGTGGAGTAACATTAGTCTATATTTTATTTTATTTTATTAGTGAGTGACTTTAGTTTTAGACTTCAGAGACCATTGTTTCCAGTGGCGTAGCGAAGGGGGGGGGGGGGGGGGGGAAAGGGGGTGCGGACCGCACCGGGTTACACCATTTAGGGGGGTGACACCACGGCAAAAAATAGCAAAATATATAGAGAAAAATAATAATTCCACTTAAGTAAGTGATTAATTCGAGTATTAAATAGTCTTTTAAGAGGTGCAAATCGAAATTTTGAGGAGGGGGGGGGTGCAAATCGAAAGTTTGAGAGGGGGGGGGGGGTGCAAATCGAATTTTATCCCCGGGAAGGGTACTGCCTTTGTTAACGAAATAGGCTATAGGCCTATAGATATAATTAATATAGATATAGAAAAGATATAGGTCATGGAAAGTTTAAGCCACAGGAAGTTTCCTATGCCCCACGGAAAAAAATGACAGAAAGAAACCCAGTACTACAATCCTATCTGTGGGGATGTCATAAAAGGATGATCTCCGATATGTAAAATTCATGATGTGATTAAATGATTTTTTTCTCTTTAAAATTACTAACATTTACTGAGTAGGTTAAAGAAATTTATACATCATGCATGTCTTTTTTGTAGTTATAGACAGATTTTATTCACCTTGATTTTCATGAGCTTAGCTAGGGAGGGGGAGTAAATTTAAAACAGATTCCAGCTGCCAGTAAAGGGAAAAAAAAAAGAATTATAAACTTCAGCTGTAATCAGATTGCTATAGCGAACCACGCATTATAATTTACCAAATCTTGAATGTAATATTTTCTTCTTTTTCTACCTGAGCCTTATATAGTAAGCTCAGATTTCCCCCCAGGGGGCACCTGGAACTAACACTTTTTTTTGGGGGGGGGGGGGGGGGGATGCTGAAAACTGTTGCCTTTATGTCAACAGCATTCTAATATCAGCTTTAGGTATTTACTATCATATTTATCCTCTGGCTGGTCCCTTTATTTATTCTGATTTAATTGACCTGAGCTGTGTCAATCTTGATTGCGTGTTACAATATGTCAGTAACTTGCTTTCTTAGGGATTTCTAGTTCTATGCTTGTCTAGTGACAAATGTATCTTCAAAACGTGATGCACATTATTTATCCTATATTCACTCATCTTTCTTATTTCTTTGTCAGCTGTAAATTGAGAAGTCACTTGTAGGCAAGCATACCTGAAACACCCTTCAAAATGAGACACCTAACATTTTTACAAGCATCGTTGTGATTCATTTATACATGTGCTCTCATTTATTGATCCTTGTCAACAGCACCTGTCTTACACTGGTGGTCAATGCTGGCTCCCAAAATAATTGACTTCCTACATGGTGACTTTTCAGTGCTGGTACTCTTTCCTTTTTTAATACTATCAGATTTTACTTACTAAAATTTTTCTGATAACTAATAAGCATAAGTATATATTATATTTAACATATCCAAATTATTTTGGGCGCCAGCATTGATCTCCTATTATAGTGACTTTTCAGTGCTGGTACTCTTTCCTTTTTTAACACTATCAGATTTTACATACTAAAATTTTTCTGATAACTAATAAGCATATGTATATATTATATTTAACATATCCAAATTAACTTAACAATGAAAAAAAAACTAATTAAAAAAAGTTTTTATATAAATTGTTATTCTGTAACTTTTAGATTGGTTTTACATGAAAAAGTGCATGAATTTCAACAAACATTAAAGCCAACTGCACACTAAAAATGGACAAAATTTTAACAAGTTAAAACAAGTTAGTTTGCAACATGATCTGGATGAACTCTGATTGGTCCACATTGCCGTCCCCATTCACATCTGCTTCTTCCATCATATCTTCCAGTTCTTTCTGTGTAAACTTTATCCCAGACAAAGTGCATGCTCTTTTCAACTTCTCTATTGAAATAGTTCCAGTATTATCTAGAAATGAATTCAAAATTTAGACATTTTATTTTATGTAGCTTAATTTAATTTCTTGGGACTTGAAAAAAAAAGATATCTTAAAATTGGGTTTTAAAACTTATTAAGTGTCTTACTCAATCAGTATACATCCTTCACAGAGTTTAGTATATTGTTAGCAGTGTTTGTCAAAAGAAAAGGTGCCAAATGTTAAGATCTTGAAGATTCTTGATATAAATCATACTAGCTGTGAGCAAGAAAGTAAAAGGGCTTTCCTTTCATACATGATGTTCTTCAGTGTATGTTCAGGGTAATGTGGTCTTCACAATACCTAGTCATTTTTAATTTTCTCCACTCCAGTTAGGCTCCCCTTGAGCTGGGTGGACTCAGCGATGTCTCATGCGAGCTGAATTCAAGATGTTAGCAACACTTTGCTCTTCTACTTAACCATACCATCTCACCTCTAACATTAATGTGGATATAAGCAGATGTTTGCTAGCATTATAGCATTAATAATAAAAGGTTAACTAGTATTAATAATTGAATAACTTACCGAAATCTAACATTTCAAAACCTTTTTGAATTTCATCATAAATATCCCTTGTGTCTCCTTGTCTGTCTATAACTATTTCCAGAAATTCATTGAAATTTATTTCACTGAGGAAGGATAAGCTTGATTTAGTTTCACAGTTCAGGAATTATCAAAGTACGTAAAGCTTGATTAAGTATCACAGTACAGAACCTACTTTATAATGTTAATAAATTAAAAAAATAAAATTGATGGCCAAAGATATAACTACATAGACTGTATAAGTAACATTGCATTAATTTATTGAAAACATAGATCTATATATAAAAAAACAACAACCAATAAAGTGTTATTAAAATGAAAATAATGTACTCACGTTTTCTTCCCTTTAACTTTGACATCACTAGAAATCTGAATGGCTTCCTGTTTAGATACCTTGAACCCTAATGTTCTCAAGGCTTTTCTTAGATCTAAAGGCCCAATATACCTGTAAAACAAGTGAGTTTTAAAAGGCGTTTGAGTTAGAATATTAGCTTTGCTTCTTCAAATTAAAAGAAAAAACCTTTTGATCACACATGTATTACATGCGCATTTTCTAAATATTTTAATAAAAAATTCAGCCATACCCATCGGAATTTGTGTCAAAAATATCAAAAACAATTTTAAGGTCACGAATTTCCTGAGGTGTTAGTTGCTCCAATACTCTAGTTGAAACTTTGATTCCATGAACTTCTTTTTCCTCAACTGGATGACTCGTCAATAAATCAATCAGCTAAGTATTTAAAATAAACAGGATTATTTATTAATATGACTTTATTTAAAAATAAAATAAAATATAAAGCTGATTGGGGCTCTTTTCTGTCTACCTACATCTTAGTGGTGATATATCACTTGAAATCATATCTTAATAAATTAAAGTAGCCTTCTTAATGATACATCATGTCACTGAAAATTATTCTTTTCCATTTCACTTTTTAGATCAAAGCTTTATTAAGAATTTTGAACATTTGTTTTAAAAAAAAAAAAATTAATCTGAAAGGTTTAGATAAATAAACAAGATAAGAGCTTTAGCTTCTTCAAAACAAACTGTTCAACCCATGGCTTTGCCCCAAAGCTTAAATGACTTGTTTAAAACAATAGCCTGTCAAACTGTAATTAATTTCATTTATATTTTATACCTTCCTTTTTATGGCAAAAAATGTGATTGTTTGGTTTATAATGAACTAGCACATTTTTGTGTGTGGGAATTTAACCTAGATAAATATAAATTTACAACTGGGATTGATTTAAAAACATTTCTTTCATTGTTAATTACCATTTTTATTATTTACCATTTAATCTTTGAGCTGAATGATATACTTTTTCCCTTACTAGCTTCTAATAATTATTTTTTCATGGTGACAAACATTGAAAAGAAACTAATTTAAATACAAAAATAAACTACAATATAAAAACATCAAGATTTAATAAATACAAGAAACTATAAATGCCATAATAAAAGCAAACTGACATAACTTAATTGACTATGTGCTGGTATCCCTGATTTTCATTGGCCATGAGTGTAGTTAAACTGCTGGACTCAAGCCACATTTTTGTAACTTAAATTTTGCCTTAATTATTTCAATACCTAAATACTACTAAGACTTTTAAATTTGTTTAGTTATACTTTGCAATGGAATATAAGTTAAAGCAAGAAATCATGTAATCTGAAATCGTAGGCCTACATATAACTACATATAGTATATTGAAATATTGACCAGATAGGCCTACTGTACACTACTACAACTACACTTCACTTTGTATTTCTATGCATGTAAGGAACGAATTATATAATTTTAGTATGAAGCTACTTTAAGAAGTATAAATATAATACTGTACATTGCATTTAAATACAAGGTAACAGTTTTTTAAAAAAGTTTACGAAGTTGTGGGCCGTAAAATGTGTCGGATTTAACAATTTCTATTTTCTTACTAGCTTCAAAATAGTATAATAATTATAACCATTATTATATTCATGGAAGAGGTTTATGTGAACTTATTACTTATGTTTAAAAAAAAACAATTTTAATGTTTAGGCCTAATGTTTACTTTTTCTCCTGGTCTTAACAGCGGTGGTCTGCTGTCAGTCTTAACCTCTTCATTTCTTGAAATAGTCGATTTTGAGCTTGATTTTGTAGATTTTTTACTTCCTTTTTTACTTTTCTTCTTGCCCCCACCTCCTTTTTTTCCTTTCTTTTTGCCTGGCATGACAATCAAACCGACGCTTAGCTATTTTAAATTAAAAATTCAATGTAAGTCGCCATCTTTAAACAGAAAAATGTTGCTGTGCTACGATAAAGTAGAAAACAACAAAAAGAAACGAAACTTTTTTTATTTGCAGAAGTTTAAAAATAATAAAATCTAATTATAAAAAAAATGCTGCTGCAATACGAAGCGAAATCATTTGGTGCACATTTATTAGAAAAGATCTACCTCCAGAAACACGACTCTCTGTGTACACTGAAGTACGTGTCGTAGACTCGTAGTTATCCTCATAATTATATAGGCCTAGAAGAATATACTTAGGCCTATAGGTCTACTATTTTTACCTGTGTATAGATGTAATAACGAGGAATATTTTTAACATTGTTTTGTTATGTCAATATATATTTTCATAACATTTTTCATCTTTCTTTTTATCTTTAATAAAAATTATTTGTCCAGCATAAAGGTTTTCATCGGTTTTATTTTACGGGGGGAATAATTGCTGCATAGTTCTGAAATCGGGTAAATACTAAGTTGTATCCCTTACATCGATTTAAAAAAAAATATTTTAAACTATTACTAATATAATTTGTGTTTATGATTTAAAAAAATATATTTTAAGAGTGGTTTTATCCAAATTTTAAATGTTTTTATTTTTCTTTATTAATAATATTAGTATATAATACCAGAGACAGCTTTTCTTTTTAGTTAATGACGATATTTATATTTAAAGAAAATCAATTTTTTCTTTTTTTTTAAAATACATTAATGAAAGCGTGATAGTTTAGAAATTTTTTTTTTAAGAGAGTACTATGAAGTTCGTAGTACAAAAATATATTAAAAATAATTTAACAAACCAAACATTTCCACCACTGAATGTATGCTCAAGTGCTACATTGTTAGTTCCCTAATAAAAACGAATATTCAGAAATTAAGAATTAATCTTAAAACTTTAATTTGAATCTTGCTTTGTCGTGGGATTTGACCTACGAGTCAAGATCGAAACACGAAACAAATCGGTTCGTGTAATTGGTGTTATTTCGTTTTCCAACCATGGTGGTCGGACGAAGACAGACAGAAGTACTAAAATCAAGTTTGAAAAAATGCTTTGAAAATATTATACTGTCTAAGGGGTCATCTATAAATGACGTCACGCTTTTTTGGACGATTTTTCCTCCACCCACCCCCTCTCCTCCGTCACACATTGTCACAAAAAGCCCCCCCCCCCCCCCCGATATTTTTCGACAATCTTGTCTGAACTCTGTCAACATAGAGTATTTTAATCAATTCCAATAACAATTTATTAAAACAGTTATCCAAAACGCGAAATAACGGCTAAAAATTCGTTTTCTAACATTGCTTTTTTATAATGCAAAAGTGTGACGTCACACCATCTGAACCACCCCACCCCATCACAAAATTACGGACCACCTCCCCCTCCCCCTCCCCGCTACGAGTGTGACGTAATTTATGGACGACCCCAATTAGTAGGCTAATTATTAACATTTTTCGAGATCAGATGTTAAATGGGCCATTTCTGTTAGAATGTCTGGAGAAGTGCAGAGATATTTATATTGTCTTGCAACAGGTTGCAGATAAAAGAAAATGCGATGTGAAAGAAATATCCTGGTTATGTTTCATTGTCTGGATGGATATTTTTATCAAGAAAATTCCAACGGAAGCATATCCGGAGTGTTTTTAAACCGATACAGACGTATGGATTGTTAACAATTTTAATAATTAAAAAAAAATATTTCAGAGCTAGATTCGACAAAGAGAGATATATCGTCTGTTAAGGCTAATCCTCTGTGAGCTGCTGTGTTAATTGCTCATAGCGTAGATGACGTGCCTCGAGTCACGTGATAGCAAGCTTCGGGGGTTGCTAAGTAAAAATGGTGTCAGTGACGCGATTCAAAACAATAACAAGGGGAAGAGAACGCTGAGCGATTATCGCCAGGCACTGTTATTCCGTCCAGGGTTATCGTTACTTGATACATCACGGATGTGCCGAGCCTCCCTTTTCCAGTAATTTAAACTACTCTAAGGAGAATTGACGTCATTCTCGCCCTATAAACAAGCAGTGGAAAAAACAGTTCGTGTTTTTCCCCTATGACTTTCTCCTCCAAGTGCAAACAGCTTCTTACTTTTAGTATCATTTAAATTATGTTAATGTGAAAGAGTCTTGGCTTCGTCTAGGGTCAGCTTGACATTTGTTCCCGTCTGAACTTGTGGTCAACGAACTCGGTTGCACCCCACTCCCTCCCCACTCTGCACGTAAGAAGACGAGATTTACATCAACTTCAGCTTAAGTGTTTGTCGTCTGTCTCCTTATCTGGCTTCTCTTATTTATGTGACGAGAAAGAAAAAACATTCTAAAGAATGAGAACACACCTCTCTCTCCACCCAAAAAAAAACAAAAGAGAGAGAGAGAGAGAGAGAGAGAGAGAGAGAGAGAGTAAGAAAGAAAAAAAAAACAGCAACAAAAGAATGAAGAATCAAACGAGTACCTTTAAAAAAAATCGGTTAATAAGTTTTTAGCTCTGCAGTAAAAAATTAAGTTCTACCTCATACGTGAGTTCCGGTTGTCTTGTCTGAAACCGCTTTCGCTAACACTGCAGCGTTTCTCAACCACTTGTACGTTCTGATTTTCTAGTGTTTTGTTTCATCTTTTTGTGTGTGTTCAGCGAATCAGATTTTGAATACACGGATTTTGTGTGTGATGGAATCCCAACAAAAGACAGCTGCTCCATTTTTAATGATGTTGTAGAGCTCACGTATACAGAGACGGGAACTTGAGTTTTATTGAAGAAATGAGAATTTTAGTTTTGAAGTCTGTACAGTGCGGAGTACTTTGTATATTGATTCATATACACAACATCGTTCACATATTTCCATGTACATATTATGTGCATCATAATATACATAACACTATGTTCAATACTATGACTATGTTCAGTACTGTGTAGATTGATGCATCTAAACAACATCGTTCACATATTTCCATGTGCATATTATGTGTAGCATAATATACACAACACTATGTTCAGTACTATATTCAGTACGTTATGTAAACTAAGTCCACACCAGGCCTCATTTACACCTCATGTACACAATATGTACAACATTAATCAAGAGTACAAAAATTACACATTGTGTGCTCACCAGAAATACACAGTGTTTAGTTCAGGTGAAGTAACTTAAGTACCAACCATGCACATCATGTGCACTGATTTTAACACCATGTATAGCGAAACATGTACACAGAGTGTAAAGGACACCATGGACACACCATATACAGTACAGTACACCATGTTCAACACATCGTATACAAAACTTTTCATATACAACACATTATACTCAATACATTATGCAGAAGACATCATGTTCAACATCACATCATACTCAACATGTCATGTACAGCACATCGTATTTATTGTATAGCACTTAACCCACAACACATCAATAACAGCATGTCATGTATGTAAGGATATCCTGTTCGACAAAGGTATTCACAATGTACAACACATGTACAACATATGTACAATAGATGTACACATTATGTACAGCATACCATGTACAACGCCCTGAATGAACTTTAGTACGTATGGAACTGTTCACACTGGCAGACGTCCACTGTAAACAACAGGAGTCGCGTTTTTTTTTGGGGGGGGGGGGGGGGTAATGAAGTGGTTGGAGGTAGGGCGGCATTGAATTTGTTACGTTGTGGTTGATTCTGGGTGCAGGTGCAATGAGGTCGATCCAATTATACTTTAGCCTGTCTGTGTATAGGTGCGTGTGTGTATTTCGTGTTGACCTCACCCTCTTCTGTGACGTAGAGAGACAGCTGGGAGCGCCATCAGAGCTCCCCCCCCTCCCTTACCGACACCTCCTGTGACGTCCGAGATTTTTAATGCCGGAACTTTTCCTGATATCGACCCCACAACTGTGTGGCTTGAACCCGAATTCCACCCGAATTCCACCGGAACAATTTCCCCAGAAATCACAAGAGGTAAACAACATGTTTTGGTCACTCAAACAACGACGCTGAGTCGTAAGTTTATTGACCTCATGTCTTTAGGAACATAAAGTTTACCGACCTAATGAACCAGGACAAGGTGAGACCACCTGCCACAGGACAAGGTGAGACCACCTGCCACAAACAAGGTGAGACCACCTGCCACAAACATGGTGAGACCACCTGCCACAGCAAAAGGTGAGACCACCTGCCACAAACAAGATGAGACCACCTGCCACAAACAAGGTGAGACCACCTGCCACAAACATGGTGAGACCACCTGCCACAAACAAGGTGAGACCACCTGCCACAAACAAGGTGAGACCACCTGCCACAAACAAGGTGAGACCACCTGCCACAAACATGGTGAGACCACCTGCCACAAACAAGGTGAGACCACCTGCCACAGGACAAGGTGAGACCACCTGCCACAAACATGGTGAGACCACATTAAGGATAAGGTGAAACCACCTGTCACAAACAAGGTGAAACCACCTGCCACAGGACAAGGTGAGACCACCTGTTACAGGAAAAGGTGAGACCACCTGCCATAAACAAGGTGAGACCACCTGTTACAGGACAAGGTGAGACCACCTGCCATAAACAAGGTGAGACCACCTGCCATAAACAAGGTTAGACCACCTGCTACAAACATAGTGAGACCACCTGCCATAAACAAGGTGAGACCACCTGCCATAAACAAGGTGAGACCACCTGCCATAAACAAGGTGAGACCACCTGCCATAAACAAAGTGAGACCACCTGTTACAGGACAAGGTGAGACCACCTGCCATAAACAAAGTGAGACCACCTGTTACAGGACAAGGTGAGACCACCTGCCACAAACATGGTGAGACCACCTGCCACAGGACAAGGTGAGACCACCTGCCACAAACAAGGTGAGACCACCTGCCACATCAAAAGGTGAGACCACCTGCAACAAACAAGGTGAGACCTGCCACATGACAGGTGAGACCACCTGCCATAAACAAGGTGAGACCACCTGCCACAGGACAAGGTGAGACCACCTGTAACCTCAAAAGGTGAGACCACCTGCCACAAACAAGGTGAGACTACACACAGG